ATTTTGCTATCCACTTAAGTTGACATAAGTTATATATATATATATATATAGAGAGAGAGAGAGAGAAATATGGGTATGCTTGGTACCAAGCACAAAAAGTTATGCTTGGTAGTGAGGTGTCACATCTTCCTCCACTCATTCAAATATGGGACCACATTCACATGGATAATGAGTGGATGAGGATGTGACACATCACTACCAAACATAAAATTTGTGTTGTACCAAGAGACCATATTTTCGATATATTATCTTATATATATATAATAATTATATATACTATAATATATATATTATTATATATAATATATAGACACATATAATATTGTATAGATATTATATATATATCGTGTGTGATGTAGTGTGCTGCTGTGTGTCCTGTGTGTGTGTGTGTGTGCCTGTGAGACACTGTCGTGAGGAATATGGGTATGCTTAGTACCAAGCACCAAATGTACTTCGGTAGTGACGGGTGGCCATTTTATTCCTTCACCCATTCAAAGGACGACGGCGGACCATATTCACAGAATTGAATGTGGTCCCCTAATGGAATGATGTGGATGAATGAGACACCTCACTACAAAGCATAAAATTTGTGCGTTGGTACCAAGCATTACCCACTATATATAATATATATATGTATCATCATATGATATCTATAATACTATATACTATATATATATATATATTAATCTATATCAATATATATATACTATATATATATAAATATATATATATATATCATATATATGTGTGTGTGTGGGTGTGTGATGTGTCGTGTGTGTGCTGGTGATTGACTGATGGTCTAACTCCCGAATGTGTGGTGATGTGTTTAGAGAGAGAGATAGAGATGGAGTAGAGAGAGAGCGAAATGGGCATATGCTCGCTACCAAGACAAACGTTTTGCTTGGTAGTGAGGTGATAATCCCCTCCACTCATTCAAATAGTTGCATATCTCATGCACTCCTCAATCCATCATGTGTGAGTCGGCCCATTGAATGCAGTTGAGGGGATTATGTGTCACCTCGCTACAAGCACAAAATTTGTGCTTGGCGCCTACCACGCTATACCATAGTATTACTACTATTTATACTATGTATATATATATATATATATATATATATATAGTTAGTTAGTTAGTTAGTTAGTTAGTTAGTTAGTTATTTAGTATTTTGATAGATTAAGATTTAAATGAAATATTCAAAATAGTGTTTCATGTATTTTATTAATCTTATTTTTTAAAATTGTTGAGTTATACATAGTTTACGTGGGATTAGTATAAGATATAATTTGAATTAGGATAAAAGAAGATTTAAATGAAATATTAAAAATAGTGAAGGATAATATTGAACATGGAAAGCTTTTCCCGAACTCGTGCTTTTAAAGGGAGTATGATTTATAAAAAAGTAAATAATTATTTTATACTATAATATATAATATAATATTTTTATTTGTAACTTATAATAAGTATAATAAATTATATGTTATTTATAACTATTCTTATTTATAATATCTATATATAGTATAATTATAGCACTATTATTCACTATAATGTATTAAATAATAGTGTAATTCTTAGTTAAGTTATAATGTTAAAATAATGAAATATTCAAAATATTGTTTCATGTATTTTATTAATCTTATTTTTTTAAATTGTTGAGCTATACATAGTTTACGTGGGATTAGTATAAGATATAATTTGAATTAGGATAAAAGAAGATTTAAATAAAATATTAAAAATAGTGAAGGATAATATTGAACATGGAAAGCTTTTCCCAAACTCGTGCTTTTAAAGGGAGTATGATTTATAAAAAAGTAAATAATTATTTTATACTATAATATATAATATAATATTTTTATTTGTAACTTATAATAAGTATAATAAATTATATGTTATTTATAACTATTCTTATTTATAATATCTATATATAGTGTAATTATAGCACTATTATTCACTATAATGTATTAAATAATAGTGTAATTCTTAGTTAAGTTATAATGTTAAAATAATTATATTGTTTTACCATAAAATATTTATACAAATTTATTTTATTATTTATTGAATGATAATATACTTTTTAAGAATATTTAATAGTGTGTTATTTTATTTATAATAGTATTTTATTAATTCGTTATAATTTATAAATAGGCATCTAACAATTTAATAACATATTTATAAGTAGTGAATGTCATACTTTTTAAGAATATTTGAGAACATACTATTTATTAAAATTTATAACTAGATATTTAAAATTTTAATAATATATTATTTAATAAATTATGTATAGTTATTTTACAAAATATTTTATTACACTAATGATTTTATGCGATTTTATTATAATCAATAATTATCTATAATAAATTATAACATATTTTATAATTTTTTATCATTGTAAATGTATTTATATTAATTATATTTTAATGAATGCCTCAATATGTGGTAAAGAAAGGAGGTCTTAATTAATAAGATGTTATGGATAATTAGTTTACATTATTCAAAAGTAATGGTATAATTGTAAATTATCAAAATTTGAGAAGGCAAAAAAAGTAAATCAAAAGTTTTAACATGGGTATTCTCTTTTATAAGTAGTATAGATATAGATATAGATTTTTTTTCATTTAGATTTTGTGGTGTTATATCTTTGAATGAAAAAGCATACAAATTTGGTTTGAAGTTGATTTTATTATTAAATATATTAGAGGGAATTTGTGTTCATGTAACTTACATTATTGGTCTCACTCCTCCCCCTAAAATAAAAAATTCTGGCTTCCCTACTACCCTAGTTGTGGGTTTGAAAATTACCAGGTGTGGGACATAACTGTTCATCTATAGTTTAAAAAAAATGAAACATTCCCCTTAATTTATAACCCGAACTAACCAACAAGATTAGGGAAATTTTTTAAAATAGACCGATTTTGCTAAATATTTAGAAAAATCGCCCATTTTGCTAAATATTTAGCAAAACCGACATCTTTTTTGTCAACAGGACAAAAAGAGGTCGATTTTAAAAAACAATTTGGTTGAAACATACGGGACTAGTAGTCCCGTATGTTCTAAAAATCCAACTCCCTAACCGCGTCCTCTTCTTCCGGCTCTCTCCCTGTTCTCCCTCCTTTTTCTAATCCACGTAACCCCCATCTGCTCACCCCACTACAAATCCCAAAACCCTTTCACCTCCTCCTACTCCTCCTTAGCTTCCGAACTCCAAATCCCAAAACCTAAAACCCTTTCACTCCAAAATCCTCAAACCCTGTAGGCGAACTCCCTGGGGACGTTGACGATCTTCGACGTCGACGATAAATTCGTTCAGCGCTTCACCTACCTGGTTCGCCTAGTGAATGCCCAGATGTCAGCCGTAGGAAATGACGGGTCCGAAGGGCGAACAGTCGAGTACGAGACGAAAACCTGCAAGATTCTCTTTTTTGTGTAGTCAATCCACGCGTTGATCAAATCCCCGCTCTTCAAGTTGATCCTGGCCGAGTCCAGATCTGCAACGTCACCCGAGATCATGCTGTTCAAATCGACGCATGTGATTCCCATTAATATCCTCAAACGGGACGTCCATCAGAGTGTAGAACTCGACGGTGACAATCACGGGGTTGGGATTCACGGAATCGTCGGCGGGTGGGGAGGAGGAGGTGAAAGGGTTTTTTTTGGGTTTTGGGATTTGTAGTGGGGTGAGCGGATGGGGGTTACGCGGACGCGGTTGGGGAGTTGGATTTTTAGAACATACGGGACTACTAGTCCTGTATGTTTCGACCAAATTATTTTTTAAAATCGATCTTTTTTTGACCTATTGGTCAAAAATAGATCGCTTTTGCTAAATATTTAAAAAATTTCCCACGAGATTATGTCAACACATCAATACAGTTTGAGGAACTACCATCAAAATATGAAGGTTCGAGGAACTAACTATCAAAATACGACCCACGGGATCTATAGGCCTGTCCATCCGCGCCGGCCCGGCCCGGCCCGGCCCGGAAATCCGGGCCCGGGCCGGGCAAAACCGGAGCCCGGACCCGGACCCGGGCCGGGTTCCGGGCCGGCCCGGTTTTTTTCATTTATTTTTTAATTTTTTTATCAACTTTTTTTAAATTTTAAATTTTACAAAAAAGGCAAAAAAAATTAATAAAAAATAATAATTTTATTAATCACTTAAAATAACATAAATTACAAATAAAAATTATAAAAATAAATTCTTTATTAATAATTAATAAATCATTTACAAATTATAAGTATAAATTTATTTTGGAATTCATCGCATCACAATAGATAAGTACATCTTAACTAGTTTTTTTAAATTTATTTTCTTTTCTTCTTTTGATAAAAAATGTTAAAAATTAGTTTAATATTATTTTTTTTATATAATTATGTAATTAGTATATACTTACAAATTATTATGTAACTATATATTATATATACATATATTATATATAAATATATTGTATATATTTATAAGTTATAACTTGAGAGAGAGGGAGAATCGCATAAGTAGCCGTTGCCCGTTGGGCCAATGGGGAAGAAGTAGTTGTTGTAATATACTATACTATATATTCTTATATATACTTATATAAGAGAGAGAGTATACTTATATATACTTATAAACTAAGAGAGAGTATATATATACACATATGACATATTATACATATATAAAAATATATTATATATACATATATTATACATATTATATATATTTATATATACATATATCATACATATATAATACATATAAAAAATATAAAAATATAAAAAAATATAAAAGTTTACTATTCCGGGCCGGGCCGGGCACCAAAGAACCGGCCCGGGCCTGGCCCGGAGCCCGGACTTGGCCCGGGTTTCCGGGCCGAGGCCGGGCCGGGCTCCGGGCCGGGGCCGGGCCGGCGGGCTTTTTGGACACCCCTAGGGATCTACCTATCTTTTTAAAAAAACCCCTCGGGAATCCTTAAAAACTCCCTCCCAATTCTCCTCCTTTTCTCATCGCATTTCCCCCTTTTCTCCCCCCAAAATGGAAGTAGAAGCAGAGATCCTCGTCCCCGTCGAGCTCCAGTTCCCCGACCTCCTCACTCTCTCAAGCCCTACACCCACCTCTTCACTCTCATCGGACGAAACCGCAAGGCTCGAGTCCATCTCGAGTTCCGTCATGAAAGCCCTAGGTCCGTCGGGGCCCTTCCCAGAGCCGACGAGCTTCGGAGGACTCTTCTTCCTTTGGCTAGAGAGAAAGCTCTCCTCGACAGCAGGGACCGGGCTCGGATTCTCAAGGTAAGACTGCGATTTGCTTTAGGGTTTTGGTTATCGTAGGGGCTTTTGAGGTTGTGGCTAGGGCTTTTGATAAAAGCTGAGAAATTTGGATTTGGGACTTTTGATATCATGCTGTATTATGTGCTTTAGATGGTGGGACTTTGGTACGTTTTGATTTAATGTGTTTCTCGACTGTGATGACCTAGATTTTTAATACAGGGAGCTTTGATTAAGTAGAAAAGCCGGAATATTAATCCAAAAATCACCGAAGACAAGCAAAAAAGATTTGATGGAAGTTATAGACTGTTGACAGACATTCAGAAACCCTCCAAAGAACCTAATTCTTCCACAGTCCGTAAGGAGTTCACTAGGGCGTAGTATCGCCAATGTCATAGCATTGACATATCATTTTAAGGCAACTGGAGAGATTTGTGGCAAATGCACTGCCGATGGATGTGTCCTATGCTTTCCTTAGTACGTGGTTTCCTTACCATTAATCATCTTTGACAGTGGCGTATAAAATGTTATAAGTCGAGCAGGAGATTGTGGTAGCAAAAGAAAGGAGCAGAAGTGGTAAAAGAGGATTGCAGCTTATGTGAATAAACAACCATTCACGCTGTCTGCCGCAATGCACATCCACAGGCCTTGGCAGATTTATGATTTTATTGATCTGATTGAGTTACCGCAGATCTTAGACCCTAATCCCACAATCCCCAAACCACCGAGAAAAAAAGGAAAAAAAAGAAAAAAAGAAAAAAACTCTGGAGTAGCTACAGACTCTAAAGGTCTATTTATAGTCACAGGCACTAGATTAAACTATGTAAAAAAACTCTGGAGTAGCTACAGACTCTAAAGGTCTATTTATAGTCACAGGCACTAGATTAAACTATGTATGTACTGGAACTAAGATAGTGTTCCTTACAAGGTCTATTTATAGTCACAGGCACTAGATTAAACTATGTATGTACTGGAACTAAGATAGTGTTCCTTACGCACAGAAATAAATTGATAATTGTGTAGGGACTAGGATCAACACTCATAACACATATTTGGAAAGATAGGATGGATACAGACTCTTCACATAAATAGATATTTAATGCATACACAAAAGTGTTGATGCTTGGTTTCTATGAATTTTTTATAACCCATGTAGTTTGATCCTGTAATCGCTACATTCTCCGACCGTTATTGTATATTAGGTAGATGGATAAACTACCGAATCTATGTTCCTCATACATTTATCTTGATTTTTGACATGCAAATGCTTTTGGTTTACCTTGAGATCTGGTGGGGTTTCCACTCAAATTTTAAGATTGAGAAACTTTGTCTCTCACTTCATTTTGTTGAATTGTGCAATATGCATGTAACAAGTTGGGCTTCTCTATATTATCACAATGTATTCTTCATCTGATATCCATATTAGTTAAGAAATATGAGCTGATTTTGTTTTGAAATTCCAGGAGCATGGGTTGGGTAGTGACGTTCCTTTGAAAGATCCAAATAGAACTGTCTCCTCCTTTGCTTTGCAAATAAAATATGGGCAGAATACAAGCTTCGAATCCTTTTCATGTGATCCAAGCAAAACGAAGGATGGCATTGGCAATATAGAAGAAAACCCAACTGTTCATGGGTTGCAGGGATTACCTGATCTTGAATTTAGGCATCTCGGGAGTACTTTTAAGGAACTAGGCAAATGTATGGTGGACCTTGGACTTTGCTTAGCAAGAACATGTGATAAAGTCATAGGTGGTAGAGAGCTAGAGCAAAGTATTTTAGATTCATGCTCAGCCAAGGGACGCCTTATCCACTATCACTCAACAATGGACAACCTTATTCTCAAAGAGATCAACAGGAGAAGTAGAGCAGTCACGAAAAAAGTAAGAATGGTTACACATAATTCTTCATCTCCTCGTGAACCTGAAACATCAGGAAACATAAATTTTCCTGAATGGAAAACGGCTGCCCTGGATGAGCAGCGAAAGATGGAAAACCTCAGTGCTGATAATTGTTCAAAACATAGATGCCGGAGAACTTCTTTTTCCAATCTATGGCAACAATGGCATTACGACTATGGGATATTCACTATTCTAACTCCACCATTGTTTATATCATCTGCCCCCATGGAAGACTGCACTTTGGGGTCAAGGAGTCAGCCCTTCTCTTCTCCAGATGGGCATACATATTTGCAATTGTTTGATGCTACTGAGAACAAGATCCTTGTGGTGAAATCACCTCCTGGGAGCTTTATCGTTCAGGTAGGGGAAGCAGCAGATATCTTGTCCAGAGGTAGACTTCAGTCAACTCTTCACTCTGTCTGCAGGCCTGTAGACTTTGAGAATATAAGCAGGGAGACTTTTGTTGTCTTCCTGCAGCCAGCTTGGAGTAAAACTCTCTCACATCCTCGGCACCTTTTAAATGCCAAACCAATTCAGGGAAAGTTGACTCCAGAGGATGAAACATCTTCAAAATCGCAGCAGTTGATGCAAGAAATACTTCAAAAAATCCCACCTCTATCTTCAAGACTGAGAGAGGGGATGACATTTGCCGAATTCTCACGTGAAACTACTAAGCAGTATTATGGTGGTAGTGGTACTCAGTCTAGAGACAAGTGAATCTTTTAAATGTTTTACTGCCTGCCATCCTTATGTTAAATCATTTACAAGCGGAACTAATGTAAACAAATCCAATAATTCTTTGAGGTTACAAAAGCTAGAAATTAAAAGGGTATGCTGGTGTAAGCAATCCACGGTTGCTCAGTTAAAGAGTTACAAATATAGACAATCAACAAGAATCTGAACAGTGCAAGCAGAAATGACACAGGTCCTGAAACCTTGAATGGATGAGGCTGTTGATGAGATCACCACATCCTAGATACTGGAAATTTTTTTCTGCAGTCAATTGCAGGTATCAATATCCAGAAGCTTTATTTATTGTCTCTAATTTTCATCTACTTTTGCTGTTATTACATGTGGCTCAGTACTTACTCCCATATGCCTGGAAATATGAAGAGAAGTTTTAATCAAATTTTCCTATGGTAGGAGGAGGCTGATATGTAAATAAAGTCATATAGCGGTTCATAGATTATGACATTCTCACCTCATATGCTGCTGGAGATCTGCAATAGTTGGTGTTGGTTAGTACAGTGCTGGTTGAACCACATTCACTATCTTTAAGAGACATGTTGGATCTATCAAGCTTGAGATGCCATGGAAACTTATATCCATTTGGTATCAGACCCACTTGAGAAGAAGATCGTTGCATTGTAACTCCTCTTGGAATATTCCTTCCCTCAACTGATGGTCTCCTTCGGCTTGCTTGTCGCTCAAAGGGGTCAAGTCTTTGCTTTGGGACACTCTGAGACCGTGCCTTTGCTCTCGAAGACTGTGTGTTGGCCATGTAACTACGAAATAAGGGATAGTCAATGGAATCCTGGGTTGCATCGGGCATTGAGATCGCTGAAAAGTATTGGGGGCTGGTTTGAGTTGTTGCAAAGGAGAATTCTTCGAAATGGCCGCTTCGAGCTTTTGGGCTTATATCCGTTAAGGCTGATGATGACGGTGAGTACTGTGGTTGGATGTCTGACTTGGAAGGTGTTCGCTCATCATAATAGTATACAGAGTGTCTGTGGTTTATTATTCTTCTGGATTGGGGATTGGAATAGCTATTCCTGCTCTTGAAGCTACTTCTTGGTTCCGCGAGATCCATCTCCACTATTCTGATGTTCTCCGCTGCATTTGTCTCCATCCCCTGCATGCCAAATGGTTAGCTTCTTGTGAATCTGATAACCTAGTCCATCATAATCCTAATATAAGATTTCCAGTCTTACCTACTTTGTCATTAATATTTTCATATGTGTACCCTTTGGTATTCAAAAGATTCTATCACGTGGAGTCTTCTACAAAAACTTCTGTTTTAATTTTGTTAGTTAAGTGGTATTTCTACAAGAAAACAATTACTCTCTCTTCACTGCAGTTTCCTTATCGTGGACATGTGCACTAGTACCAACAATATATGCACTCGGGTTATTGGATGCAACAACTGTCGGAACCAAACATGAGACCCATTATATATGTGTCTTTCTTCTTGGTAGGTGTGTATTTATCTCTGAAAAATATATTATCTGGGTGATATTCATACATAAAAGAATTAATTTATATTAACTTATAAAATACTTAGCTTCTACCAGAGGAGAAAATACATCATCTTACATATTACTTTAGAAGTGAATAAAGGTTTACACATTTGTTAAGTATTAGGCAGGGTTTCAACAACATTGTAAATGGTCAGTCTGTTACACATACACCAATTTTTCGTTGGTGAAAGTGTCTTGAATACCTGTAATTATGAAATTGTAGTGAAACGATTGACATATGCATATAACAGCGGTATCATATGGAATCTATTGCAAAAAATATTACTCCTACTGTTATCTTTCTCTTTTTTCCTTTATAGTTTCATTAAATTTCAGGATAACTTACATATGATTGCTGGAATCTAGGATGCTGTGGTGATCTTATGTAATTTGGCAGCTGCTGTGAGATGGTTCGGGCTTCCTCTGCCATTTGTAACTGCTGTGCTCGAACTCTGGTTTGAACCCTGACCAAAGCCTGCATTCTACGGAGAGTTTCGGTGGCTTGACTCCTGACCAGGTGCCCCCTTATCAATGCTTGCAGCTTCACTAGTCCTTTCAGTGCACATAGAGCTTTCCTTGCCTTAAAGAAATTAAAATCAATGTCATCTCAGCTTGCTTTATATTACTGCTGCCATGTCATCTCATATTCAGTTTCTTTCTATACTTTTCTTTCATATTTATTTAGGTCTTGTTTTACACGGTATAATTGTTATTGAGCTCTTCTTTCATAAGTTTCTTGTCTTATATTTAGTTAGTCTGCTTGTATTTGCCATACTTAATTCCTGCAGATAGTGATCTCATTTGGATAAGAATTTTACTTTTTTTTTTGTTAAAAGAAAGATCAAAGAATTTTTAGAGCTTCTATTCAATGGTTTGAAACAAAATAAGATAGAACATTCTCATTCTGAAGCTAATTGGAAAGGACTGCCAATAGGGAATGGTTGATGATAAGCTGAAGTTTGAATATATTTAGTTTGAAAAATCAATTTATTGTCTTCAATTTGCATTGTATATTCTGCCTAGTGTCATCATGTTGTTTATCTATGAACATTTTGAAAGAGTGGGATATATAGTATTCGACATAGAAAGTCTCAAAATCAACTTGCCCTCTTCAATTTCATTATATATTCCGCATAGGGTCGTCATGTTGTTTATCTATGAACATTTTGAAAGAGTGGGATAGTATCCAATATTGGAAGTCTCAAAATCAACTTACTCTCTTCAATTTCATCGTCTATCCTGTCTATTTAAAGATATTGTTTACCTATGAACATTTTGAAAGAGAGGGAAGTATTTAGTATTTAAAGCCTTCAAAATCAACTTATCATCTTCAATTGCATCGTCTATTCTACCTAGTCCTGATGTTGTTTATCTATGACCAATTTGAATGAGTGGGATAGAATAAATACCAGATAAGATCGAAAATAAGCCTGGATCTTGATAGCAGCATCCTCCTCCACATCCCTGCTCGTTCTACCACCATTGCCTACAGCCGTCAGCCTGACCACCGCATCATGCCTTTTCTGTTCAACCTCGGACTCTGAAACCCCATTCGTGGCGACCGGCGCATTTACACTTGGCTCCACTGTAGTCAACTCTTTTCCACCTGCCACAGACCTCCAGAAGCTCCATCGCTTCTTCTCCTTCGTGTTTGGCACCGGTGCGGGGCCTGACTGATTATCTCTCTCTTTCTCCTTCTTTCTGGTAAGAAAGCTTTTGAACCATTTGCCTGTCTTCCTCATTGCTCATCCGAAACTTACTCCTAAGAATTTTAGCTCTTCCTCTTATAAATCGAGTAACTTCCACAACAGCCCCCAACACTACCGATTTTTCCCGCAATACCCCAAATACTTTGCTTTTCCCAGTTAAGCCCCAAAACTCCTTGGTGTCTCACATAACCTCCCCATGCTTTTAACTTCTCCCACTTAACCCCCAACTATCGCAGACAAACCCCATCTCTTACTGAAGTAGTTGTTATCTAAGGCACTCTGGAGCTTTGGAATTTTGGGGGGGTTAAGTGGGAAAAGTTAAAAAAAATATTGAGGGGCTATCTGAGACACCTTGGAGTGTTGGGGGTTAATTGAGAAAAGCTTTGAGGTTTAAGTGGGAAAACAGGGTATTGGGGGTACTGTGGGGAACATCCCAAAGCATTGGGGAGTCTGTGAAACTTACCCTTATAAATCTTCAGCAATTGACCCAATTCCCTATTCATTGGATGATCTGCTGTATTCGTTGTTTATTGCCTGCCTTGTGCAAGATTGATCCATTGGGGTATTCCTTGGGAAGTAGGGCAGGGTTATGCTTGGAAGCTTACAGGTTAAGATTAATGAAATGGGCCAGAGGCCATGTGCAGAAGAAAAGCCTTAAACGTGCAAGGATGCATGAGGGAATACTTTCTTTGTTATGCTAGGGTGTCGTGTAAAAAAGGTGGGTCTAAATCTAAACAATTGCTACTGTTTGGACCCATGTTTATATCCTGAACCTTTTTGAACTTCCTTTTGGATCTTGATCCTAAGCCATCTTCAATTAATACATCTAGTTCAGGCTATGAAGGGTGGTGGTACATTGAATTAGTTATTGGATTCAAGTTTTTGTACCCTATCTCGTAGGGGTATTTTTGTTTCTGTTGCTTGAGGCTCTGACCCGTTGCGATCTCGATTTAGCAAAATCCGTAACTTTGACACCTTCTGCTCAGGAACCTATGCGAGTCTGTTTTGTTTTGTAATCTTTCCTTGTGTTCTTCCTCTTCTCCCCCTTCTTTTTGATGCGTATTCTGTCGATGTTGTGTAGTTAATAAATCTTCTGAGCAAGTAGCCGCGGTTGCTAAACAAGTGTTTTGCGTTTGTTTAGATTTCGAATGTATGTAATTAAGAATAGCTGGAGTTCCATGATGTTTCCAAGCTATGCTCATCCCGGGGAAAGTTGAACTGGAGAATGAGCTTTGCTACAGTGACCCAAAATATGGGACCAATAGAGGGGACAAGTGAGGTGTTCTCCTCCTATTGGATAATGAGTTGGCTACACACACAAGAAAAAGTTGGATACAGCCTCCAACGGCAGTGAGAAAAGATTTACCTCTTAGTCTGCCGCGTTTGCATTTAAAAGGGGGTTGAGCTTAGGCATTGTAGGGAGATCATGCTACTAGCATCCTCCATCAAATATATAGTAAAGTACAGCTATCGTCTGTCGTTTGGCTCCGGTTCTTTATTGAGAAAATGAAAGGAAGGTTACTGGTAATAAGTTGGCGAGTCACGTGCTGTTGCATAGTTTGTACTGGCCATGTGTTAGGATGGAGGGGAGGTTGCTTCCTTATCTTTTAGCGTATCCAATGAGATAATAAACCTCTCTTTACTTTTACAGCTATACGAATTATTTAGGCTTTTGTTGGAAAAATATGTACAGAAGACAAAATTCTCAGGGTTTTTTTTTACATGAAAACCATCTTAACTTTCATCTAAATTGATACTTACCATCTTTATTATTATTATTTTGATTAAAACCATGTATATTTGCTTACATGTTTGCACCGTCATACTTTTTGGTATTTTCTGTTAAAATTTTTTCTGAAATTCCTATTATACACTCCATTCTAATTTGAGAGGAGATGAGAGGAAGAGGAGAGAAGGAGGGAGGTTGCCGGTGTTGGGCCGATGGCAGAAGAGTAGAAGGGGAGCAAGTCAGCGGTGAGAGTGGAGAGGGAGGAGGATGGGAGGAAGGAGGAGAAGGAGAGGAAGGAGGTGAGGTTGGAGGAGGAGAAGGGAAAAGAGAGAGGGAGGCAGAGGGGGCCATTGGTGGAAGGGGAAAAAGAGGAGGGATGATTAGGTTTTGAAAAAACCCAAGAGGTGGAGGAGATTTTGGTTTGGAGAAATCCTAGAGGTGGAGGAGATGGCGGAGAAGATGAAGGAGGAGGGGGAGGAAAAGAGGAGAAAGAAGGCAGAAAGGAGGTGGAGGAGGACGGGGAGGAGGAGAGGGAAGGAAGGAGGTGGAAGAGGAGGGGTAAAACGCGTATTTGTGATTTTTTTTAGCTGAATATTGGTTAGGGTGCGACATTGCAAACATGTAAGCAAATGTATGTGATTTTGATAAGAAAATAAATAAAGATGGTAAATATTAATTTGGATAAAAGCTAAGGTGGTTTTCATATAAAAGCCAAAAATCTAAACAATATACTTTATGGGATCATTTAGGCCCAATAATTGCTTACCATGCATTTTAGCATTGGATTCACGTGGGTCTCTCTTGGGGAAAAAGGTCATAGAGCAGAGGACACGTATGTCATTCAACTGGTTCTTTGTTCATACGGGTACTTGTAGGGAGATCTTGTAGTACTATGATAACTTTCTATTTTTTGGCGTAATGTTAGGTCGCACTTTAGGGTTTGGCGTGTGACCTGTAACTTTGTATCTAATTTATTTTGGGGTAATGCAAGGCAAACCTGAGTAGGCCTTGACATTCGACTTCGTCATATGATTTTTCTATAGATACCCCTTTATAGGATTTCTTCCCCTCTCTCAAGCATGTATACTTCTTCTAACATCAGCCTTAGAGATCTAGCCTTGTAAGATTATGCGAGTGGGTCAACTTTGAGCCACATAAAAGGATATAACTTGCAATGTCATGAATACATGTAAGGACCTGTTAATTTTTGTTTAATTAAGCAATAAAAAAAATTTGGAATCCTCAGCTGATCACATAAATGCACATTAAGGAATCTGTCATCTTCTTTTTCACTCGTATGTGTATTGCACGCGCATTGCACATGAGACTACTTGTTTTACATTTTAAATGTTTCTAATGGACATGAAAACGATGACGTAACTCAATGGAAAATGAATCAAAGATTTAAAGTAAAGTATTGAAAGAAGTTTTCAATATGTTAACATCGATCAGCTTGTATTTTTTAAATTATAATTTATATATTAATATGTATAAATTAATATTTATATTAAAAGGTGAAATAATTTATGTTTAACCAAATTTAGGTTTTTAATGATGGAAAAGAAAAGTTTACATAGATATCTAATTGTAATCATCATTATCCCCTAAGCATTTAATATTTCTAATTATATTTAACTTTAATATAATGATTAGATAATATATTTAACTTTAATATAATGATTAGATATTTAACTTATATTTAAATATATACTTTTATTATATTTCTAATTATATTTAACTTTAATATAATGATTAGATAATAATTTTATTTATATATTTTATATTAAATCATATATCTTTTATCTTCATGAGCTGTGAAATTGCAGTTGATGCTCCACGGCATGGAAGCGGTGCCGGCGTGTTTCATGTCTTTCGGTTCACCATGTTGCTTTTAATTTTTAGTTAGACTTGTGTTAGAAAGCTTAAGGTTTGTTACATTACTCAATAAAATGTCATCTTCAGCATAAATTATCCAATTAAATCCATAAAGGAACATGATGGTGTTCGCCGGAAAAATCGTGTCTTTCTTCATTATTGATTCCATTGCTATCTTTAAATAACAACTTTTTGAGTTACAAAGATCCGATCTTTTTATAAGATCCTGTTACAACGAAATCAAAAATAAAGAAAAAGATTACAACTTTCTCCTTGTTTGTCGAACAAATCGCGAGCTCCTGTTTGCGGTCACTCGCTTTGTGGGTTCTTTGCCTGCGCCGGGGTTTATCCGTGGACCACCGCGAGATCTAGATCCGGTCGGATCTACGCAGTACGACGGGTATTATTTCACCAAGGAAATAATAGCCGGGGAGGATTAGTTCACCAAGGAAATAATCGTCCAAATCTCGGGATCAAAGGCCAAGCTTTGATCCGGAGTATGCCTGCGTAGATTTGAGATCCGGTCCTCTTGAACACCTACCTTATTTGGCGTTGACGATCGCCGAGAACCAGATCTGGATAAACAAGTCCTCGAAGTCCTAAAGTTTGAATCTTTTTTTAGATTTGAGTCTTCAATCCAGCAGGGCTTCGCCTCCAAAAAATCCAACCTTTTCAAATGAACTACCATTGGCCTATTTATAGGCACCCAGATCTGTGCCTAGGCACAAATCTAGGCTGAGGTGGCTCGGCCACAAGTGGCCGGCCACCCCTGGGTGGCTCGGCTCATGCCTCAGGGTGTTTGGGTTCCGTCGTTTTGTCGTTGTTCCCATTTTTCGGTTGACTTAGACTCTGATTTGTTGATCTGATTTGGCAGTAGATCCGATTCCTGTTTTGGCAGTAAATCCACTTCTGAGTTCGAGTCCGAAACCGATCTTGATTCGGTCGTGATTCATCCGAGTCCGTCCTTGGTTGGATGACTCGTTGACTCTTCAAACCGTTAGCTTGATTCCGCACGCGAGTGGATTTATTACGTTGTTTGCGTGCGGTTCATTAGCTTCGTAGCCTCGTTAATGCGCTTCGTCGCGTATCACTTGGCTTCGGCGTTGTGGACTAACAATCGTGTCTGCATACGTCGCCCGATGGTCGGTTCGTCGAATTGACGTTGTCGAGCTGTGTTAAGGGACCTATAGGCAGTTTTATACGCCTACAGATACCCCCTCCAAAGTATTTTAGCCTCGTTCTTTTATAGAAGAGTCTGGAATACTTTGGATATGATTGTCCCATTCTTCGATTGGTTAAGACAGGATATTTGGAGTGGCTTCCGTTCTTGATTCCTTCAGTCCCCCAGGCTGTTCGGTGCTTTGTCGAATGTCTGTAAGGATTCCGGTGCTGCATTTATTGTCTGACCATTGTCGGAATTTTGAACTTGAAGTCGATTCTTGATTTAGCTCGTGCTTGTTGGTTCAACATAGAATTGACCATCGATTGTTGAGTCCATATATGCGGCGCGTTGTCCGGTGTAGTGTTGTTGAGTTATCCTTAAGAATATTTAGAAAAATATTCTCCAGGAACTTCTCAGCCAAAAATAGGAAACAGTTTATACTCATATACCTTATTGGAGTATTAAGAAGCAGTTTATACTTGTATACTTTTCGGAGTACTGATTCCTTCATTGCAACGCATTGATAGGCGTTGACCTAGGGTTACGCGTTGACCGGCGCTGACCCTAGGGTTTCAAATGTCGTACGTTAACTTTATGATCGCAACGCGTTGGCTGGCGTTGACCTACAGTTACGCGTTGACCGGCGTTAACCTTAGGGTTTCGAATGTCGTATGTTAACTTTTTGATCACAACGCGTTGACTGGCGTTGACCTAGAGTTACGCGTTGACCGGCGTTAACCTTAGGGTTTTGAATGTCGTACGTTGACTTTTTGATCGCAACGCGTTGGCTGGCGTTGACCTAGGGTTACGCGTTGACCGGCATTGACCTTAGGGTTTCGAATGTCGTTGGATGCTCAAGTCACGAGACCAACTAATGAAGCTGATGCGTCAGTGACTCTCGTATTTATAGGATTTTTGGCAAACCCTCAGCCATCAACGGGTTTGATAAGCCTTTACCGACTACCGTTTGAGTCGGGCTAGCATGCAGATTGTCTTAATCCGTTCCGCATGTGATGTTGTGCTAAGAGAGTTAACGCTCTTAGTGCTACGATATTGAATACGTAGACTTCGTCTTTCTCACGGGAATAGACTACCCGGCAACGCGTGTTAGGCGTTGACTTTAGGATTTTTGGCTAACCCCCAGCCTTCAACGGGTTTGATAAGCTTTTACCGACTACCGTTTGAGTCGGGCTAGCATGCGGATTGTATAAATCCGTTCCGCATGTGACGTTGTGCTAAGAGAATTAACGCTCTTAGTGCTACGATATTGAATACGTAGACTTCGTCTTTCTCACGGGAATAGACTACCCGGCGACGCGTGTTAGGCGTTGTCTTCAGGGTTTTTGGCTAACCCCTAGCCTTCAACGGATTTGACGTGCTCTTACCGATTACCGTTTGATTCGGGCTTACATGCGGATTGTTTTAAGTCCGTTCCGCATGTGACGTTGCGCTCAGAGATTGAATCCTCTGAGACTTGTTGCTATGACTTTGAATACATAGGCTTCACCATTGTTATGGGAACAGGCTACCCAGCAACGTGTATTAGACGCTGACTTATCCCTACTTAGGTTTCGGGATAAAATACCCCAGAACCAAACTTTGGTGTCTTTTTCTTCGGAGAAAGACTAAACCGGCGACGCATGTTAGGCGTCGGCATATCCTTTCTTAGGATTCAGGATGAAATTCCCCATGCGTGTAAGGCATGGATTTTGGTGTTATTAATAACAATCTGCCACAATGTTGAATATGTGAACGGGTGTTCTTTTTAACGGTTAAGAACTAACCGGCAGCGCGGGTTAAGCGCAGACTTATCCTTGCTTAGGTTTCAGGATAGAATACCCCAGAATCGAACTCTGGTGTCTTTTTGTGCGGAAAAAGACTAAACCGGCAGCGCGTGTTAGGCGCAGACTTATCCCTGCTTAGGATTCGGGATAAACTTCCTAGGATGAATCCTGAATTCTTCGAAAAGGATTGGTATGGGGAAGGAAGAATTTTATATTCTATTCCCCGAACAAAGAAGGAAAGGAGACTCGAGGTGGGATCTCCACCCCCAGAATCCGGAAAGGTGAAACTAAGAGTGGGATCTCCACTCCGAGAATCAAAAAGATTCGGATAACCCTAACTGTCGGAAGGTTTGATTATCGAACTAAAGATGAATTTCTCGTTTATCGAGAATGAATCGTGGTTTTGGTCCTAACTGTAGGAAGGTGAATCCTAAATTCTTGGAAAAGGGTTG